GAGCAAACTTTCAGGGTCTTAACACCTCGGCCAAAGACCTTAAAGTCTTCATCTGGTCTGTCCCATCCCCACAACCTGCCTCCCTCGGTTTGATGCTGTTTATGCTTCTCCTTTCCCCTGGTACCCCAAACCAACCCGGGTGTGGGGGGGCGCAGGGACCCACGCCAAGCACAGCGTCACTTGGAGCCAACCGGCAGCTCCAGGCTTTGGGGAATGCCGGGCAGGGGATGCGGCGCCGGCTCCGGTGCCGGGCTGCAAAAGCGGAGTCCCGTGGTGGATTTTGGGCCACGAGAGAGCGAGCTCCCGGACGGCAGCGGGGGCCGCTGGCCGGGCTGTCGCGGGGGTTTGGCGGCGAGAACGATGCGGAACCCCCCGCGCGGGCGGCGCGGCCGTTGGGGGGAGCAGAGACAGCTCTCTGTCTTCCAGGAAACGGGCTTTTTTTTTTTTTGTCCCCCCGGACCAGGACAGGGGTTTTCCGCCAAAACGAAGGCTCCGGGCAGTTTGCTCAGGTGCCCGGTCCCCAGCGTCAGCACCCAGCCCCGGCCAGCTCCCGCGCCCGCAGTAAGGAGGGGGGGCATCCCCCGAGTGCTCGCTCGCCGCAACCCTCCGCAGCGGCGGGCGGGCCCGTCCCGCCGCCCTCCCCAGCCCCCGGCCGCTCCCCGCCGCCGTCCCTTACCCCGTGCCGGTGTCGTGCCGCGGCTCCCGCAGCTCAGGGGAGAGCTCGTCGTTTTTTGGAAACGCAGGACGGCAGCAAAACAAAAAAAACAACAATCCGTAGGGAAAAAAAAGAAGGGGCAAGAGCAGGGCCGAGGGAACGCCGCCCTGCGCTGTGCCCGGGCCGGGCCGGGCCCGCTCAGTCGCCGACAGTCGCCGACAGTGGCCGAGAGTGGCCGAGAGTCGCGGCCGCCCCGGCGCTGGGGACGGGGGGGTCTGAGAGGATTCGCGCGTGGCGGCGGCGACGCCCCGCCCCGTCAACACCGCCCGGCCCTGCCATTGGTGCGCGCGTTACCGTGGGCGGGGCCTGTCGGACGGGCCCCGCCCCCGCGGCGGGAAGGGGCCCGGGGGGATCCCCAGGGACGCTGGGGAACCGTGGAACCGTGGAATCATGGAATCATGGAATCGGCCGGGGTGGAAGGGACCTCTGAGATCATCAAGTCCAACCCTTGGTCAACTACCGCCGTCGTTACTAGACTGTGGCACTAAGTGCCACATCCAGTCTCATCTTAAAAACCTCCAGGGACGGAGAATCCACCACTTCCCTGGGCAGCCCATTCCAATGGCTGATTATCCTCTCTGGAAAGAAATTCTTCCTAATCTCCAACCTAAACCTCCCCTGGCACAGTTTAAGACCGAGCCCTCTTGTCTTACTGATCGCTGTCTGGGAGAAGAGACCAACCCCCCCCCCGCGCCCCCCCCCCCTGTCAGGGAGTTGCAGAGAGTGAGGAGGTCTCCCCTGAGCCTCCTCTTCTCCAGGCTGAACAGCCCCAGCTCCCTCAGCCTCTCCTCACAGGAACTGTGCTCCAGTCCCTTCCCCAGCCTCGTTGCTCTCCTCTGGACCTGCTCCAGCCCCTCAATGTCCTTCCTGAGCTGAGGGCCCAGAACTGGACACAGCACTCCAGGGGTGGCCTCACCAGTGCTGAGTCCAGGGCAAGAATCACTTCCTTGGACCTGTTGGCCACACTGTTCCTGAGCCAGGCCAGGATCCGTTGGCCTTCTTGGCCACCTGGGCACACTCTGGCTCCTGTTCAGCTCCCTGTCCATCCAAACTCCCAGGTCCCTCTCTGCCTGGCTGCTCTCCAGCCCCTCTGTGCCCAGCCTGTAGCACTGCGTGGGGTTGTTGTATGGTGGACCAGCCGTACCCCACAGCCAGCCCCAGCAGCCCTAAAGCCTGTGTCCAAGATTTTGGAGACAATGGGGTAGAACCCCCACCCCAAAAAAGGCTCTTCCACCCACCAAAACCCAACCTCACAGATACTCATACAACACCAACATGTAAAGCCTTTTATTTTCACCTTGATTTTTATTTGATCCATCTTCATTCCTTCAAAACACCTGAAATTAGGGTAAAAATAAAATACAACAAAGCATCTAAAGTCCCATCATTTTACTGGAATTTGGGGGTGAATTTGGAGTTCAGGGGATATTCAGGAAGATTTGGGGGTTCTGGGCAGATTTGGGAGAATTTTCTCCATTGCTTTTCACTCCAAGAGCCAAGAGGGATAAATCCATCACCTCAAAACTACTCAATCCCACTGAAAATGGCTCAATCCCACCCCAAAATTACTTGATCCCACAGCCCCCTCAAAACCCAAAGAGGGGTGGGATGGGGACTGGGAGGGTTAGAATGGGGTGGGAAGTGTCTTGGGAGGGGTGGGATTGGTTCCTGAAGGAGTGGGATGAGGTTTGGAAGAGGTGAGATGCGGGAAATTGTTCTTGGGAAGGGGATCTTCATGCCTGGGGGAGGGGTGGGATGGATGGGATGGGGTCTGGAATGAGAGAGCTGAAGGTTGGGGATGATGAGGCCGGGGGGGGATCCCATTTCTGAGGGCATTTTGGGGTATCCCCCATTCCTGAAGTGATTTTTGGGTATCTGCCATTCCTGAGGGGGTATTGGGCTACCCCCAATCCTGAGGGAGGTTTTGTGGTACTCCCCAGTCCTGAGGAGGGGACTGTGAGGGAGGGGATGTGTGGCTCCAGCACTTGGAATGGGGTGCTGCAGGGAGGGACACTGGGAGCCTGTTTTGGGGAGGATCCTGGTGCTTTCTGCCAATTTGGAGGATTATCAACAGCTTTGGGGGGGTTTACCGCTCATTTTGGGGGGCTGAGGTGACCCCCCCCTCATCTTGGGAGGGTTACATGACCCCATTTCTGAGAGGATCCTGCTGCTTTCCACCAAGTTTTAGGGGTTATAAACAGCCCTTGGGGGTTCTCCCCTCATTTTCGGGGGTTGGCTGCAGTGATGGCTGAAGGGGGGTTATAACCCTCAGTTGGGGGTGATATAATCAGCTTGTGCAGGTCCCATATTAGATGGAAATCCCACCTGCAGGAGGGTGTCCCTTCTTCCTTCAGGTCCCCTGGGGTGGGTCTGGGACCACTCCCGACACGGGGACACCCCCTCTCCTGGCCATCCTACCTCCCGTAGACCACAGACTCTGGCACCCACTGCACCCCCAATTCCGACCTCTCCCAGTCCCCAACTCCTCCTTTCCTCAACATCAGGGATCCCCTGAACCCCCTTCCCGGACATCCCATGTCTCCCCACCCACTGAACCACCTTTTCCTGACACTGGAGGTCCCTGGATGCCCCTTTTCCTGGGCACAGGGACCCCCTGGACCCCCCACCCTGCCCCTCCCCACCTCTAGCCCCGCCTTTCGCTGACCTGGGGAACCCCCTGGACCCCCATTCCCAGACACTGGGACCCCCCTGCACCCTCTTCCCCAGCTCCAGACTCCCCCTGCACCCCCTTATCCTGCATCAACACCTCCCTACACTCCCTTTCTCGCCTATCCCACCTCTCCACACCCCCCCAGCCTCCCCCTGCCTTGACTCTGGGACTCCCCAGCCCCCCCAAACCCCCGTGTCCCCCCAGTTCCCCCCTCCCTGCGTTACCTGTTGGTGGTGGGGTCGGAGCCCGGCCCGGGGCTCCCCCACTTCGTGTCCGTGGAGGAGGAGGAGGGGAAGGGGCTGGAATTAGGGAAGGGCAGGAGCGGGAGGAAGCGGAGGGGCAGGAAAGGGCGGGATGGGGAGGAGCTGGAGCAGGAAGAGCAGCCAGAACAGAAGGAAAGGCCGGGAGGTTGGAGCTTCCCCGGGAGCATCGCTCCCCCCGCATCCCGCAGGTGAGCCGGGAGGGGGAGCTCGCCCCAAATATCTTGAGGGGTCTCTGGGTTTGGTTTTTTTTTCTTTTTGTCGAGGGCTGGTGCGATATTGAAGCCTGGAGGACTCCAAAGCTGAGCCAGAAATGCCCTTTGGGAAGATTTTGGGGGTCCCCAGGAGGTGCTTTTTTGGGGGGGTCCCAGTGGCGGTTCCCGGCAGAGCCCCGGCGGTGGGCGGGGGGATGCGGGGTCCCCCCTGGGTGGGGTTTGGTCTTCCCTTGGTCAGGAACTGCCACCTCCATTGTCGGCCCGCTACCCCAAAACCCACACACCGGTTTTGGGGACCCCCCGGGAAAGCCGGGGGTAGGTGGGACCCCCGGGACCCCCGGAGTGGGGAGAACGGAGAGGGGTGATACCGGAGCTGGGGGACCCCCGACAGAGGGGGGGGCAGTTCTGGGACAATGAAATGGGTGCCCGGAGAGGGGGCATTCCCAGGATTCCCGGGCCCCCAGCAGCCCGGAGAGAGGGAACTCGGGAGAGGGGGGACCCGTGGGACCCCTGTGTCCTGGTTAGAGCAGCCGGGGCCAGTTTCATCACTGTGTGGGTGTGTCCCAAACTGTGTGTTCTACACCCTCCGTGTCATTTCCCAGGAACTGTTAACTATGGGTCGTTTGCAGCAGCTGCTCAGAGCACACCTGACCCCTCAGGCTGTAGTTATGGGTGATGTTAACTCCCCTCCAGGGACTCATTAGCACCTCCACACCCAGCCTGAGGGGTCATGGCTGCTAATGTGCCACCAAGGATTCCAAAAATATCTCACGACTCACATCACCCATTGTGGAACTCCCCGCCCTGGGGAAGGTACTGGGCAATCCCACTCGAACCTGAGCCTGTATAATCTTGGGGTCTTGGGACTTCTGGGCCCGTTTGTCCGATTCAGAGGAGGACCAGAACCTCGAGCAGACTGTGACCACCACTTTCTGCCAGACTGTGATCATCACCACCCTCGACCAGACTGCGACCAGCACTCTCACCAACAGGTCTTCCCTCTCCTTTTACTTTGGACTCAGGGTGGAGGCCAACAAACACTATTCTGTTCGTGCCCCAGGGTGCTGGGTTATACATCTGAGTTTTGTGGGTTAAAACCAATTGTTTGTCCATATAATTGTATTTATTGTATTATTTTTATTAAATTGTAACTCTGACTTATAATCTCTTTTGAGTTGAGTTCATTTCTCCTGCCGGTTTACCTTTAAACCAGCACACCCTGGAGAAGGGACCCCTGGGACCTCTGAAACCCTTGGCATTCCTAAGTGGGACCCTGGAGAGGGGGCAATCCCAGAACCACAAAGTGGGGGAACCACAGAGGCACAGAGGCTTGGGATTCCCAGGACCCCCTGGCAGCTTGGAGAGGGTGGTGACCCCAGAGAGGGGGAACCCCCAATACATGTGGGACCCCCAGCAGCCTGGCCAGGAGGACCCCTAGAACCCCAAAATGGAGAGACCAGAGAGGGGGATCTCCTGGGAGGGTTTTTTGGGGCTGAATATTTGTATTTTGGAGGTTTTTACAGTCGCAAGATGCTTGGCTTTTAGATATGGACTTGGACTGGAGGAACCCCCAACCCAATGTGCTCCCACCTTGTTTTTGCTCCTCAAAACAGGATTTCTCCTTCCTTGGCCAGATGGAGGAGGAGGATACAAGGAAGAGGAAGATGCTGTGGAACACCCATGCAGGTAAGGAGGAAGTCAGTGCCCCTTTGCCCCTGTCTTTCCTACATCTTCCAGCTGAGCATCACCCCAGGCTGCAGGACAACCCCGCTGACGCCGCCATCCTGCCAGGGATGGATTTGGGGGGATCTCCTTGGTCTTCCCTCTGGCTTGGAGGCAAATCCCCTCCTTGTCCTTCTTCTTTCCTGCCCCAGGCCCTGAGCTGAGGACGGAGAGCACGGAGGACAAATCCCCCCGGCAGAACCTGGTGGGAGAGGCCGTTTTGAAGGGCTCCACGGTGCAGGAAGGCACCAGGGAGGAAAAGTCCCGGACATTCCTCAGGAGGAGGGACTCCAAAGCCAGCCCAGGGTGCTCTGAGGAGGAAAGACTCACCCTGTGCTGGGAAGGCAACCAGAGCTTGAGCCAGAGCTCTGACCTGGTGGTCCCTGAGCAGTTTCACACTCAGGAAAAGCCCTACAAGTGCTTGGAATGCGGGAAGAGCTTCAGATGGAACTCCCACCTCCTCACCCACCAGCGCATCCACACTGGGGAACGGCCCTACACGTGTGGGGAATGTGGGAAGAGCTTCAGGCACAGCTCCCACCTCATTACCCATCAGAATTTCCACAGTGGGGAACGGCCCTACACGTGTGGGGAATGTGGGAGAAGCTTCAGCCGGAACTCTGACCTGATCTGCCACCAGAAGATCCACACTGGGGAACGGCCCTACAAGTGCTTGGAATGTGGGAAGAGCTTCAGCAAGAGCACTGCCCTCCTCACCCACCAGCACCTGCACACAGGGGAACAGCCCTACACATGTGGGGAGTGTGGGAAGAGCTTCAGCCAGAGCTCCAACCTCATCACCCACCAGCGTGTCCACACTGGGGAAAGGCCCTACACATGTGGGGAATGTGGGAAAAGCTTCAGCCAGAGCTCCAGCCTGACCTGCCACCAAAAGATCCACACTGGAGAACGGCCCTACAAGTGCTTGGAATGCGGGAAAAGCTTCAGCAAGAGCTCCCACCTGATTCGCCACCAGCAGATCCACACGGGGGAACGGCCCTACAAGTGCTTGGAGTGTGGGAAGAGCTTCAACGTCAGCTCCAACCTGATCCGCCACCAGCAGATCCACATCGGGGAACAGTCCTAAAAGTGTGGGGCGTGTGGAACAACAGCTGCACCTTCATCACCCACCAGGCCCTACACCTGTGGGGAGCATGGGAAGAGCTCCAACTCCATCACCCACCGGAGGACCCTTGTTAGGAAGAGACCTGGTGACCCACGTTCTGGGTGATCCATGTTGGGCACAGCCCTAGTGATCCGTGTTCCCAGTGATCCATGCTGGGCAGTGTATTGGGTTTTGGTAGCAGGGGGGGACTCCAGGGGTGGGTTCTGTGAGCAGCTGCCAGAAGCTTCCCCCATGTCTGGCATCTGTTCTGACCCGTCCTGAAGGTGAGGGTGACCCAGGTTCTCATTTATGGATTCCTTGGGGCAGGTTAGAGTGAAAGGACAGTAAATGATGGCTGTTCATAAATATATATGTGTAGGGTTTATTTTAGAACAGTTTGGTTGCCCTGTAAAGCAGGTTTGGAGCCATTTTGGTTCTTATCTCTAGTAATAAAAAAGCATAAAAGGAACATTTAAGAAAATTTACAAGGGAAATGAAGGAAAGTATCGGAGTAGAAAAATACAGAGTCACAACCCAAGGATCCAGCATAGACCTGGTTGTTGCAATTCCAATGTCCCTTGGTCCAAGTGATGGTCACAGTCTTGATCCATCAGGGGTTTTGAGTTTCAGGGAAAGTTTTCAATGCCAAATGTTTACTCTGTTTCCTTAAATCCAGGACTGAGAGCAGTTAATTCTGCTTTCTGAGCAGAGACAGTCGTTGGTAAGGCTGCGATTCAGTTCCCTTGGTGGTGGTCACTGCTCAGCCTGTCACTCGTTTTCCCTCCTGAACAAAGCTGCTTCCATTGGGTACAGTTCCCAGTCAGGGGTTTTGGCTGGAATAGGCTCACTGCTGATCTGCTAGAAACTGTGCAAACACTCCCAGAGCAGCATTCTGTCTCATAGATAAACAGTTCAAGAGGTTTTGAGAAATGTGGCAGACCCAGAGCTGGGGCTCTCATCAGGGGGTGCTTTGGCTGCTTAAAGGCTGCTCTTGCACCACCATCTGCTCAGGTGAGGAAATTCTTATAGGGCTGTTTTTAAAAGTCCATATAATGGTGTTACCACAAGTCCATGGTGAGCAATCTAGAGTCGACACCATCCTGCCACTCCCAGGAAGGCATTTCATGACCTGTTTGTGGCTCAGGGAGGAGACAGGTGGCTTCTTCTCTTCCTTCCCTGTTTCTGGATTTTCTCTTTCAAAAGCAAAGATTTCTTGACTTTCCTTGATCAAGGGGATGCAGAAAAAGGCATTGTTTAATACTGTTAAGTGCTCTAGGTTATCATTTAAGAGGGTTCTCTAAGGTCCTGCACTAATCAATGATCTTTACCATTTGCTTTCTTTATGGGTACTTGGATTCACATTCTGCAAGCAAACCATGCTTAGCAAATATGTCTGTTATTGAAACCAATCCAACTTAGCTTTCTAATTTCAAAGAATACTGGTTTTGCCTTACTGATATAGCTCCTGGCTTAGGGGTTATTCGATTTTCCTGGAATTCCACTGGCCCACACAATAGGAACAACTTCAACTTCGGTCAGTGTCATAGGTTTTCTTGTTTTCAAGGAAAAAAAAAACAAACCTGCTTGGAATTTTTTCCCTTTAGCACTGTGAAAGAAAGGTGTTGAGGGAGGGGGGAGGAGATGGCCAGAGTGAGCCACACACACAAAAGGACCGGCTGATAGCCCCACATTCCAAGCTAATGGCTTCAGAAGACTGCAGGGGGAGGTGAGTTTTTTTTTTCTTCTGGGGATGGCACTTTACTGTAGCCCTGACTCAGGGAGGGTGTGAATGAAGAGAAGAGCTCCGGGGTTCATTTTTGTTTTCGGCCAAGTCACCTGGGCCGCCTTTGGCCCCTCTTTTCCTTCACGCCCTGTCCTGCCCACGGCCTGGCTCGGCTTTGAGAACGAAGATTTGGGGAGGGCTCTACCCACATTTGTTACAAGCACGCTGGTGGCTAAAAAGGCCAATATGAGATAGACACATCTGGCTGCAAAAGGCACAGCAGAAAGACTCCTTAGGTGGTAAATTCTGCCAGACACGATTCTTTCTGTGTTGTCTTTTCTCCTCAAGGGTGACCCTGTGTGCTTTCTCAAAAGCATCAGCAGTGTTATAGATGCTGTGTCTCCAGACCTCCCAGTTGGAGGCCAGAGTAGACCAGTTCTGATGATCGATATGGCCAAGGCTGAGATGTTTCAGGGAGTCCTTTTATCTCCTCTTTGGGACTCCTCTCTTGCGGCAGCCGGTGGCAGGTTCACCATAAAACAAGATCTTAGGGAGGGGGTAAGAGAAGGACAACTCTAAACCCGGGCAGATGGAGCTCGTTCAGCCCTGTAAGACCATCCCTCTAAGAGAAGGTCACTCGAAACAAAACTACGTCCTGAGGACCTCACTGCCACCGTCCAAGCTCGCTCGGCCCCGGCAGATGAACCTTAGGATTAAAGGGTGGGTTCAGTTCAGCACACACCATGTCTCACCTAAAAAATCCATTGTGCAGGCTCGAAGGCCTTACCTGCATTTGTAAAGCCCTGTATCACCAGCACGCTTGTAACAAACATGGGTAGAGACCTTTCCCAAATCTTCTGGCCATGATTGAGGGAGGGGGTGGTTGGTCCTTCATCCTGGAGACATGCCCTGCCCAGCACAGCTGTGTTCTCAGCATCATGGCCTCAATACTTGTGACTGCTGCCTGTTCTAGAACAGACGTATCGGTCACATAATCTGACCAGTGGATGTTTAGGATTGCTCTCCTCAGATTTCATCGGAGAAGCTGGTACCATCTGTGGAGGAGCTTTTGAGGGGAAAGGCTGCTCTTTATCCCACTCCAAGAGAGGAGCCCCAAAGAAAAGATACAAGGACTCCCTGAAACAACATCTCAGCCTTGGCCATATTGATCATCACAACTGGTCTACTCTGGCCTCCAACTGGGAGGTCTGGAGACACAGCATCTATAACGCTGCTGATGCCTTTGAGAACGCAGCAGGATCACCCTTGAGGAGAAAAGACAACGCAGAAAGAATCGTGCCTTGCAGAATTTACCACCTAAGGAGTCTTTCTGCTGTGCCTTTTGCAGCCAGACGTGCCTGTCTCGTATTGGCCTTTTTAGCCACCAGCGCGCTTGTGACAAACGTGGGTAGAGCCCTCCCCAAATCTTCGTTCGTGAAACCCGGCCATGACTGACCCCACCCCGTGCTGGTGGCAGTTTACACCCATCGGCGAGGAAGGGCAGTTCCAGGCAGAGCCAGCCTTTGACACAGCGAGTCCATGGGAGGAATCGCCATCTCCCTTCTCCCTCACCCGGTTGGTGGCGGCCCCTCAGAGACCCGACAGCGCCCCCTGCCGGCCGCGAGCCGGGCACTGCGGCCCCGCCCCCCGACACTAAAGCCCCGCCCCCGACACTGCGGCCCCGCCCCCTGATGCGCCAGCGCCCCCTGCTGGCCGCGGTTATCACCGCTCCGAGAGGCGAAAAATTAACTTTAATTGTTTCGTCAGTGCGAGTTTGGGTGCGGGATCGCTGCTTGTTTTCTTTCGTTGTGTTGCCTCTACGTATGTATTCTTTAGTAAAGCTGTTATTTTTTTCTTTTCCACGCCTTTTCGCCTGGAACGTCTTAGTTTCGAAGTTATGATTACTTAGGAGTAATTATTAATTTCTTGGTTTTTCTCATATCCCGCCCTCCTTAGCAAACGCTTCTGCCTCGTTAAGCTGAGACAGTCAGGATGTTGCTGCTGACTGGAGTTACCTCCTGCATAAGAAGAGCTGCTGCTTTGACGTATTTAGTCTCAGCAGTTACAATTTCAATATCCCCATTTTTAAAATTTAATTTCTGTCTCTAGTTTTCCAATAAATCTCGTCCTAGCAAAGGTTTAGGGGAGTTTGGCAAATAGAGAAACTGATGAGTTACCCATTATTTTCCCAATTTAACCCCTGTCACACCAATAATCTTTACAGGTCATTCTTTAATTCTCCTTCTGTTCTGTTAAGAACTGAGTAAGTTGCACCTGTGTCTTACTAATTCATGGACAAACCAGACAGTGGGGTCTCGACCCCACGCTTTTTAGCCAGTGATATCAACATCATGCTCAGTGTATAAAGTGGGGGGGGAAAGGAGGGAGGTTTGGAGTGATGGAGTTTGTTTTCACCATTCCATGGGATGGGGCCCTGCTCTCCTTGAGGTGCTGAACACCTGCCCAACCATGGGGACCAGGGAAGGAATTCCTTGTTTTGTTTTGCTTATGTGTGCAGCTTTTGCTTGTCCTTATTAAACTGTTTTATCTCAATCCATGAGTTTTCCAGCTTTTCCTCTCCCGATGCTTTCTCTGATCCTGCTGATGGGGGAGTGAGGAGTGGCTGTGAGGGGCTTTGAGGGCTGGACGGACTAAAACCACAACAACCTTTCTTGGTGTCCAGGGGCTGAGAATGTTGGAGATACTGACAGTTGGGACTGGGATGTGCTGATGGGATTTACAGCTGCTGGTGCTGTCTGGGGCTCCTGGCCGTGTATCAGTCTGATGCTCCTTAGTGGCTGCTTGTTGTCCCTGCTGCTGCACTAGACAGGCTGAAAGTCCATATGAACCTGAGCTGAAGGGTCTGTGACCTGTGGATGAGTCCGGGTTGGAGCAGAGATCCCACTGCAGTCTAGGGAGGACCCCACACTGGAGCAGGGGATGCCCAAAGGAGGCTGAGATCCCATGGGAAGCCCCCGCGGAGCCGTGGAAGGAGGAGCCCACGCTGGAGCAGATTTGCTGGTAGGACTTGTGACCACATGGGGGATTCATGTTGGAGCAGCCTGTTCCTGAGGGACTGTTGTGGATTTGAAAACAGACATTGGAATTTTTTCTCAGTGTCGGTCTCCCCCCCCCCCCCAACCCCTCACCTGTTTCTTCTGGGGTGGGCAGAGCCAGGAGGGGCGACAGAGCAGGGCAGCACATGCAGGGCAGCACAGGAGGTGTGTGGGGAGGAGGTTCCCTTTAAAAGCCAACCAGAAAGCTCTTGCTGTCCCTGTAGTGCCAAGAGTGGCACATCAACTGCACTTGAGAGATGGAGGGTAAGGACTTTCTTTCCTGGGTGGAACGGCAGTCATTCGCTTGTAGGAGCTCTGTGCTCAAATTGCCCGTCCCACTCCCAAAATTCAGTATGGATGAAGATTCCTGCCAGACAAAAGGTGCCTGCACAGAAAGCTCTTGCTGTCCCTGTCGTGCCAAGACTGGTGCACCAACTGCACTTGAGAGATTCAAGGCAAGGTGTGGCATTGAAGGCACAACAATACCCAGGCCGTGAGTATGAGCCTGTGCCCTGTCACTGCCTTCTGTCAAGCCATGGGGATCCACCCCCAAGGGAGCAGCACATTTGAAAGTATAGAAAGAAAAATGTAATCATTTACCAAAAAAAAATAGAAAAATAAAGGAGATAAAAATCAGAAGGACTGTAAAAAATCCACCTCCTGAGAG